TGGTACTCTCTTAATGAATATCTATGTGAATGCCATGTGAGAAGATATAGCTAAGTCTGTGTCTGTGATGTTATTTAAGATAATTTTCAGAGGTGATGCTGGACAAGGACAGGCTGATAATCCTGCTGCAGACATGTAAGTCTCCCTGGGGATGGTGTCAGAGTGTCCAAAGTGGCTTGATCTGAAGCAAATCCCAGGAGCAGCTTGGGGGAAGCTCAGTCCAGCAGCTCTATTTATGAATATATTCCATTAGGGCCCTCCTGGGATGCTCTTTGTCCTTGATGAACCTCACAGCCCTACTCAGTAAAGTCCCCCTACCCTTCTGTCCTGCACAGAGCCTGCTAGCAGGTTATGAAACAGCCCTCAGTAGGGATTACCAGGGCACCAGAAGGGCCCTGCCTGCTGCTAAGGACTCCTTGCTTTTTGTAAAATATATTCTGTGTCTGGGACACCAAGACTGTGCTTTGCTCGAGCTGTTTCAAAGCAGGCAGTAAATGCAGTGTGGAGGAGTGAACCTCTGTCACAGCAAGGCTGCTTCTTCCTGCTGCCTTCTGACTGCCCACATCAGCCTCACCTTCCACCTGCAGTCCTGCCAGCAGCCAGGTGCAGAGCTGGGTCACTGGGCACATATAAATATGTATATAAGTCTTTGTATGTGTATGTACACACACGTAGGCATTAACTGCCTTCCCAGGCACATCTACAGGCTGGGTGAGGAATGAATCAACAGCAGCCCTGAGGAGAAGGACTTGGGAGTATTGGTTGACAACAAGCCCAACATGGCCATGTGGAGCCCAGAATCCCCCTCTGTGCTGGGCTGAGCCCCCAGTGGGGGCAGCTGGTCAGGGTGGGGATTCTGCCCCACCTGCAGAGCTGCCCCAGCCCTGGGGAACAGCACAGGGAGGAGCTGGAGCTGCTGGAGAGAGTCCAGAGGAGGCCATGGAGATGCTCCAAGGGCTGCAACCAGGCTGGGAGAGCTGGGGGTGCTCACCTGGAGAAGGGAATGCTCCAGGGAGACCTGAGAGTCCCTTCCAGGGCCTAAAGGGGCTCCAGAAAAGCTGGAGAGGGACTGGGGACAAGGGATGGAGGAACAGGACAAAGGGCAGTGGCTTGCCACTGAAAGAGGGTAGGTTTAGATGGGATATTAGGAAGCACCTGTGAGGCTGGTGAGGCCCTGGCAGAGATTGCCCAAAGAAGCTGTGGCTGTCCCATCCCTGGAAGTGTCCAAGGCCAGGTTGGATGAGTCTGAAGCAACCTGGTCCAGTGGAAGGTGTCCCTGATGGCACAACCCATCCCACGAGATGAGAGTAACCCAGGCTCTTGTTAATAAATCAATTTGGGGTGCATTAGCATGAAACAACACTGAACGATGAATGTGATTTTTAAGAGATGACTGTGGATTTCTCTGGTGTTTGGTGATATCCACAAAAAATGAAAACCCACATTTTAAGCGAGGCCATGTTGGGCAAAGTTATCAGGATTACACTGGAGACTTCATAGGAGGTAAGTGTCTGCCTGACCACTTTAGAAAATTAAGGTAGTTTTGGAAACAGAGTATAGACAATGATGAGGTGACTATATGAGTTTGCTGGCTATGCTGCCCTGGGAATGTTGGTTTGCACATCACTTTCATGAACAAAAGTTGAAAGGAGATCTCATTTTGGGTTTAAATGTCCTCTAAATTATGTTCCAAAGTGGCTTGTAGGATTGAAGAAATTTAACTTGAAGTAAGATCTGGCAAAGAAGACACAAGAATTAAAAGAATACTCAAATATTAAGCGGAAGTAGGAAGGAAGGTAGAAGTTCTTATTGTTTGGACAGATATTGAGATATCTATTTGGACAGATATTGAGATATCTATTTTATTCCTAAAGCAACATTTATAAGGGATAATTGCTTTCTGTTTCAGTGAAAAAATTATTTTCTCAGCTAAGGCAGTATTAGATGAAATTCCTGGTGACAACAAAGGTGGATGTCTGATTAGACCACTTTAAAAGTGGCTGAAACACTTTGAAATAACTGAAGCAAAATTTTTAATTGAATAAATAAGTTTAAAAGAAGGAAGGAAAAATGTAAACCTTAGAAGAACTAAAGGTAATGATTGAAATGCAACACTCAGCTTCTCATTATTTACATGGCATAAGCTCGACAATTTTTATTATGTAGGCATTACTCATCTACAGATTAATGAAGGACAAAGCAGTGACTACAGATAAAAGTGATAGAACGCCACATTTTGTGCAATTCTCTCACTTTACAGCACTGGAGGCATTTACTCTTCACTTTCTGCCTTCTTGCTGATTTCCCGGCTCTTGGCTCGGAGCTTGTTGACCTGTGACTCTGCAATGTCAGCCCGCTCCTCCGCTTCCTCCAGCTCGTGCTGGATCTTGCGGAACTTGGAGAGGTTCACATTGGACAGCTCCTCCTGCAGATAGGAGGAAGCGTAAAACAGGTTTTAAAACAATTCCACTTTAAAACTGCTAGGTAAAAATATGAAATAAGGAAAGTGAAACGAAGCAGGGACCAACTACCACAATGTTGACTTGTGTTCAAACAGAGCTACACAGGAAAATATTAACACAGAATCCCACTCCCACCTGGATAAAGACTGACTGAACACAGTGATACTCACAGCCTCCTCAGCTTGTCTCTTGTAAGCTTTCACCTTAGTTTGCAGTTTATCCACTAGATCCTGCAGCCTGAGAACATTTTTCCTGTCTTCCTCAGACTAAAGAGAATGACAAGACACAGAAGCATATCTTTTACTCTCCTCTACATGAAATAGAGAGTAACATTTCTATTTGACATTCCTTCCCAGTAAGACAAAAGTGATAAGCTATATATTGTTAAAATTACTAGAAATATAGTATATAGAAATATATACGGTGCTTTCATTATTCTTCTTTTTGTGACTCAGGACAGAAAGAAATCCCGCAGGGCTACATTTTGGGTTCCAGGAATAGGAGTGTATCAACACGAAGAAGATTCCTGCCTTACCTGGTAGGTGAGTTCCTTCACCCTGCGCTCGTACTTGCGCACGCCCTTCACGGCTTCAGCGCTGCGCTTCTGCTCAGCATCAACCTCCCCTTCCAGCTCCCGCACCTGCAAGGACAAGCCCATCCCTGCAGCTGCCCTGACAATGGCTCTCCAAGGAGAGACACGCTCACTCAGGCACAGCCCCAAAAAAAAAATTAGATTCTTTTCTTTCTCCATTTTTCATTAATTCAAAAAGTGCTCAGAAATATAATCTGTGCCACATCTCATCCACCAAGGCTAGCACAGGAAATTAACAAAAATAGAGTTAGAGAAAAGTCACCAGAGAAAAGATCTCTTTTAGTAACATAATGAATATTCCAGAAAAGAAGACTGTCTTCCCCCAAACTGAGCATCTAATGGTGACTAGAATAAAGCATAAAAGTGTTCACCGAATGACCTCACCTGGCTGTGCAGGAGCTGCACACGCTCACTGGCATCCATTAATTCCTGCTCAGCCAATTTCCTCGACCGCTCCGTCTGCTCCAGGGCTGCCCGGAGCTCCTCAACTTCAGCCTGCAGCAGGTTTGCTCTGCGCTCCACCATGGCCACCTGCTCCTTCAGGTCCTCCTGAGACCTGAGAGCATCATCCAGATGGATCTGTGTGTCCTGTAAAGCCATTGAAATAAATTACAAGCAGATTTAGAGCTCATGTGGACTGAAAGTATGAACCAAGATATTTCTCTGCAGGCAATTTTTGTTCAAAAGACCTTGAGCACTCCCTGAGTGTTTCTCAGATTCTTCTGTGCCTCTGCATCCTGCAGGCGCTGGGCCAGCTTCTTCCTGGGAGGAGACAAGCACAGTTGCATGTTAAAGCTTGGAAGGATGTCAGTTCTATTCTGTCATGAGACAGAATTGATCCATTTAAGGGTTGACAATTGATCTCTTTAGGGGCTTTGAACTGAGAACTTTTCACATATATGTAGGGATCTATCCTTTGCTGTGTCCTATCACCTATTATGCCTGGCTTAGCACTTCTAGTCCTAAAGCCTATATTTTCCCTTCCTATCTACACTTTTTCTCTGCCTTCCTCTCTCCCCTTTTCTTACAAATCTATATCCTTTCCTTCATCCAATTCTTGTCTTAACCCACTCTAATTTACAGAATTAGTACTACAGTGCCATCCAGAGGGATTATGGCCCATGGGAATCTCAGGAGGTTTAACAAGGCCAAGCAATCCAGGCAAAGTCTCATGTGATGATCAGGGGGAACGATCACTCTCTGCTAACCCGTTAGCAATGCTTCTCCTAATGCAACTCTGGATTCTCTCAGGATTCTGTTGGCCAGCTTCATCACAAAACACATTTTTGGCTCAGTTCAACTTTGGTTCAACTTATCAAATCCTCCAATACTCCAGGTGAGTTTTACTTTTTCCTTTTAAAGAACCCAGGTAATATACAGTATTCTCTTAAAAACACAAATGACTTACCAGATTCTGTTTGTAGCCGAGCTCTTTGAGCACTAATTTCATTAATTATGCGCTGCTGTTCCTCCTCCTTTGTCTTAATCTCACTGAGCTGATCTTCTAGGGAACGACACATCTTCTCCAGATTTGCCTGTTTGCATGAGGAGCGGAAGGAAAGATGTTTAATGGTTCAACTCATAATTTGTGAGCATATGAAGTCTTATAAAGGAAGAAAGAATGATTCAGAAGCCAAAATTTCTCAGTTAACTGATATATATTTCTATGAAATTGTGTTTCCATTCCCATGTGTATATTCCCTGCCCATTGTAGGGTGGATGAAATTATATGATCAAGTTATTTAAATAATACTGAAATGTTTAAACACACACTGAAGTTGCAAAGTGAAGTAGTTTATTCTAAAATATGATTAACTGAAATTTCTATGTTAAAATATAAATATCTGATTATGTTTGAAGTAATGAGTTTTAACCTGTGAGAAGAAGGGAGCAAGCAGAGAGAGAAATTGGTGCTTAAAATTTTTTAAAAAGATAAGTCTTTTCCAGAGTGTGAGTGACAGGTTCTACCTCATACCTTGTTTTCAGTGGCATGTTTTTCCTTCTCCACCTTGGCCAGTGTTAGCTCAAGGTCATCAATATCTTTCTTCAGCTCTGAACATTCATCCTCCAGTTTCCTCTTCTTGGCTGTCAGCTCAGCATTCATCTCTTCTTCTTCTTCTGCTCTCTCTGTCAGCTCCTTAATTTTGGCTTCCAGCTGGATTTTGGTTTTGATGAGCTGGTCACACCGTTCCTCAGCATCGGCCAAGCCATCAGCTTCCTACACAATTCATTCAAATGAAAGAGTTTTCAACCTGGGGCTACTGGCTCTGTTGTACTTTTAGGCTGTAGACATCCAAATGCCATTAGATCAATCCCAATACTTGCTTGTAAATGCAGTTTTAAGGACATTAGTAGGTACATTCTTACTTCCAGGGAAGAAGGGAAGCTGTGAAATTTCATCACCATTTTTCTTGAAGTGACAGGGACCATAAATGTCAAATACCTACCTGACACTCTCAGCTCTTCCTACTCAATCTCAATTCACTTGGGATTCTCCAAACAAAATATGTTAATTGGACTTCCAGACAATCTTAATTGGTCAGTTGATAAGATATCAAAACTGTTAAGTGCACAAAATTCTATAAATATTAAGATAGCAATTGTATGTGGTTTTTCTTCCCATTTTATAAAATATGTGTATGTTTTTAAATTAATTGTTATTTTGGGATAATATATCTTTACTGAGACATTTGGGATGATTTTATATAGGACATCACAAGTCAAAAAACTTTAGCGATACTCACAGCCTGCACTTGGAGCTGCAGGTCATTCTTCTCCTGCACCAAGGCCACCATTTTCTCCTCCAGCTCCTTCCGCTTTGCCTCAGACTTTGCAAGCTCTTCCTTGGTTTTCTCAAACTCTTCCTTCATGTTGGCCATCTCCTTCTCAGACTCTGCACTCTTCAGCAAGGGCTTGATCTTGAAGAACAGCTTCATCCATGGCCAATGTTTGACATTCATGAATGAACGAACGTTGTACTGGATGCAGAAGATGGACTCCCTGAAAGGTAATAACAAAATATATTTTGGTACATATTTTAAAATCTATAGAACATATTTAGCAGTATATGTTAATATATATGACATGAAGTTTGACACATAATACTTAGTTGTATATATATGTATATAGTATCCATATTTAGTATATTTGTCCACATACATAGATCTGTATATCTCTATGTGTAAAATATATAATGTATTTTTCAATATACATTTCTTGATAATATTTAGATCACGTTTTATATATAATATATATATTTCTCCACTTAAAACCTTCTAATGTTATGTAGAGTATCAACCTCTATAGCCAGTTTTGCAGTTCAAGTGTTTGGCTCATTTTTATGACCAATGAAAAGGGACACTTCTGTAAGTTGACTCAGTCACTTTTATGAAATTTATCAAAGGGAAGAGGATGCTTGTTTTGTGATAGAAATATGTCTTTCTCTCATTTTATTTAGCAATTACCTAAAATAATTAGCTTAGACTAGATATCAAGTTTCTCAGCATACATATAACATAGCCATTTAATGACTTCAGCAACAAAGTATTAAAAAAATTGTTTCCCTGAGTTGGGATTTTACACTACTTCATCTGTTTTTGGGATATACTTTCATATTGACAAACTGAATTAATGAGAAATAAATGAGATTTTTTTTGAAACAGCTTATTTTCAGTTTTGTTCATGCCATTACTATCTGATAAGGATTGGCCCAGCAAGCCAAGTAAATATCTACCTCCTCTCCATCATTTTCTTGAACTCCACCCTCATCAGGTAACCCCTACACATGGCCTGGGTGCGGGTGATGAGCTGTGCCAGCTTCTCATCCCTCATCTCCTCCAGGAGTCCCAGCAGCCCAGCTTTGAAGAACACCTTGAGAGAGGCAATTTTGCAGCACATCACTGTCAGGTAGAGAGAGCAAAGCCCCGGCAGGCAGTGAATGGAGGGGTTGGTACCTTGGTGTGTCCAAATTTGTACTGGGTGTGGTCCACATCGATTGACCCAAGGAGCTTCTCAGAAGCCTTCTTGCTATCGATGAACTGTCCCTCGGGGATGGCACTGGCATTAAGCACCTTGTATCTGTGGAATTGGAGGAAGATGAGGAATAAATAATAGCCCTTAGATTTTTTTTTCCTCAATAGCTATAGAAAGAACCTGAATGACTCGCTTGGACAAATTACTTTTGTATACATAAAGGTAACTTCTACAGTACTTAAAACAATTAGGAAATGCAAATAATTCAGCATTTGTGGATATGGTGGAGGGTGATAAAATGATATCTGACCTCTGTTTGAAGTCAGCATAGAGGATTCTGCTGGGGAAGCCTTTCCTGCAAATCCTGATCCCTTCCAGCACGCCGTTACAGCGCAGCTGGTGCAGCACCAGCTCGTGCTCCATGGCACCTAATAAATCACAGAATGAAATTGTATATCACTTTACTGCACAGAGAAGATCAGATATATCACACCTCTGAACTTTAACAACTTACCAGGTGTTTTAGTCTCATTGGGGATGATGCAGCGCACAAAATGGGGATGTGTGCTTCTCAAATTGCTCATCAGCTTGTTTAAATTTTCCTGAGGAGGAAGAACAAAGCCTTGGGTTTAAAAGTGTCATTTACACAATCTCAATACTAGGTGGGGATAAAAACATTGCAGTAAACCATGATCAATAATTTTTTTACAGAACATTCGGGCAGTTCTGAAAGAATACTTCCCAAGTTTCAATAAGAATTCCTCTTTACTAGAAGCACATTATTTTACCCGTTTTGAACACAAAGGTATAATAGATCAATCTAAGGTATTTCTGAACTGCATTTTCTGTTTTTCTTTTCATAATGTGGTAATTTTAGATTGATTATTCTACAGTACCCGGAAGAGAGCCGAGACAGTCTGGAAAGAAGAACCCTTCTTCTTGGCACCCTTCTTGCCACCACCACCACTGCTCTCTAAAAAGCAATAAATTTTTTATAAAGAAGTGAACAACAAAAGCACATAGAATCTGAAAAACTTTATATGTTCACCTTAAAAACTCTAGCAAAAGTAATAATATGATCAAATTTTGCAAACTCAGATTGTGGTTAAAGTTACAAAAAGAGACTTGAATTTTTCAGATGACAGTAGAAGGAAATCTAGTGACTTCAAGCTGAAATTTAGAAAATGCAGTATGGAAAAAAACCATAACATTTTGCATAGGAAGATATTTGAGGAACTAAACTAATAACTAGTATTTACACCAAATGCAGTGTTTATGTATCCTTACATATAAGGGTATGCATAAATTTAACAGCATGTTGATTCATTTGATTGTACTCACTGAAGTATTTGAGAATGGCCCATATTGTAGACAGCTAGACTGGGTTAATGCTCTAGTTAATGCTTCTAGAATGAGAACCTACAGCTCTATTAAGGTCTCTAGGGAGTAGCAATATCCTTTATTAGGCTGAGATCCAAACAGTAGATGAGGTTTTGGGTTTTCAATTTTAGAAATGTAAATATCATTGCAAAATATTATTACAGTATTTAATTTTTTTTTTCCTGTGAATTATAGTAAAACAGATTTCAAAGAAATCACCTGCTTCTGCCCCACCAGCAGATGCAAAGAGCAAGGCCAGAGTCTTCAAGGATGACTTTTGATACAACCCCACAACAGTTTCATTCAGAGGGTCCTTGTTCTTCTCCAGCCACCCAGTGATGTTGTAGTCCACTGTGCCAGCATAGTGCACCAGGGAGAAGTGGGCCTCAGCCTTGCCTTTGCCAGGCTTGGGCTTCTGGAAGTTGTTGGACTTGCCCAGGTGCTGATCATAGAGCTTGTTCTTGAAGGAGGTGTCAGTTGCCTTGGGGAACATGCACTCCTCTTCCAGGATGGAGAAGATGCCCATGGGCTGGGAAAAATAGCAACATGTGAAGAAAATGTAAAAGGAAGAAACAGAGGCAATGTACGTAAGAAAGAGGAATAGAAGACAAAAGTTATACCAAAAAATCCTCCTCAGTATGTGAAAACTTTTGTTTCTCAGAAAGGGCATTTTGTTAGTGGATATGCCATCAGTTATACAAAAACAAGCTCCCCTGTAAGATTCAGGGTTGGGATGTAATAAAGATCTAGCATGTAGAAATTAATTTTGTACGTTTGGTGAAAGTGGTAAGCAAAATGAATGAAAGTAGTAGCATTCAGACATAAGGAAGAGTTTAAACTACCTATATGCTCTTTAAAACGAGACAGAAAATTTCTCAAGAAACCTTAAAATAGAGATTTTATAACTGAAAAACTGTGAAGTATGTGAGGGCCAATAACCTTCTCAATGAGCTCAATGCAGGCAGCCAGGTCCATGCCAAAGTCAATGAACTCCCATTCAATCCCCTCCTTCTTGTACTCCTCCTGTTCCAGCACGAACATGTGGTGGTTGAAGAACTGTTGCAGTTTCTCATTGGTGAAGTTGATGCACAGCTGCTCCAGGCTGTTGAACTGCAGAAGACAAAGATTTACTTGTGAATTTCAGTCCCAGGAACACCTTCCAACAGGCTTTATTCTTACCCCACTAAGGTCTCCATGACTGGAACCTTGAATTTCTAGCGCTGGAACTGGATAGGTGACTGGCATATTCCATCCTCTAATATATCTAACCTCTTAGGCCCTGGCACTTTCTCAACATATATGTGAGCTTTCAATAGATCTGCAGAGCTTAGTCCAAATCCAGTTTGAATTTGTGTACATTACCTCTCTATTCCCAAGCATTCAGATGAAATCTGGCTTCAGCATTAACAAAATCTTCCTTTAAAAAGGCATATTTTAACTTCCTCAAAGCTTCTCTCTGCTATTATTTATCAGTTTTTCAGCAGTTTTCAATGCAATTTTCACTTTTGCATGCAACAAACATCTACAAATAAATACAGCCCTGTGGGGTACTATATGCAATGACAACCAGAAGGGTACTGTTCCTAGAGAAAAAGCAGGATTATCCAATAAACCGAAATAACCCATAACTGAAATAAAGCACACCCCAACCCCCAAATTATTCCAATTTCCTAATGCCCCTTCCAGGAAAGCTTTATGGAGATCCTTCTCTTACATCAAAGATCTCAAAGCCAGCAATGTCCAGCACACCAATGAAGTACTGCCTGGGCTGCTTCGTGTCCAGCTGTTGGTTGATACGAACAACCATCCACAGGAACATCTTCTCAAACACAGACTTTGCCAGGGCACCCACTGAGTTGTATACCTAAGAAAAGGTTAAAGGAGAGCTACCATCTGCAGCAGAAGTTCAAAATTTTTAATTAACGTAATTTTTTTTTCTATTTTCACTTGTTTCTTACCTGCTGCACAGTTTGGCCCTTGGTGACGTATTCATTCCCCACCTTGACTCGGGGGTAGCAGAGGGCCTTGAGCAGGTCTGCTGAGTTCAGACCCATCAGGTAGGCAGCCTTGTCAGCAACTAAGGAAATCAGGATCAGATATTAGCTCTCCAGGGAAAGGGTCTTGCAGTAATCCAGATTTCCACAGAAATCTTATATACGTTACTATGTCCTTTAAAATATTGTAGTTTTTCTTGACTTGCTATTTTTTTCTGATTTAATCTATATGATTAATAAAGGTAAATATTATTCCAATACTTTTACAGTGAACATGAAAGAGACTAGACAGACAAAAGGACCAAGGGACATGAAAATGGCAAAGAGTCACAATTACTGAATAAACAGAATAGGAAAGTTGGTATTCAAGTACACTGCACTGAAAATTGTAGTCAGTGAAACTCTCCTGTCATTGGAGAGAGAGAGGTATGAATAGGATATCCTGTACAACCTTCATAGTCGGACTATATTGTCCCTAAGGATAAATATCAAATACATTAAGTCTTTCCAGCTCCCATTTTATCTGCAGTTAGGTTAACAAATACAAGCACCACAGCCCAGCATATACTCTGTCATCACTTTCCAATTTGCTGCCTCTCTTGTCCCACAAGAAGCTGATAGCAAACACCAGTACTATTTAGAGAGTTCTTCAATGTGAGAAGGCCAAACCTGATTAAATAAGATTTATACACAGATGCTAATTTTGAGCTGCTTTTATGTGTTATTTCCAACAAGACATTAAAGGCACATACATAACTAGCAAGATGAAACAAGAAGAAAATTTCAGCTTTCTAGATGTATGTATATGCATACTGTGGTTGTATATAGGCTGCTCTGCAATAATTATATAATTATTCATTAGTACTTGAGAGCTGTTCGTCGTTCTGTGTCAAGTCTGGGAAGCTTCGATTCAAGATAGCAGCAAAGTTTGCTAGACTTTTGCCTGACTCCTACTCTGAAAGAAGTCAGAAGCATGTTTTAGGAGTCACTAGACTTAATTTTTTGCTTTGTTCAAAATAGTCTACAGGTTCCACTTAGTTACGCTCCTCCAGAGAATTCCTCTGGCTAGGACCCACTGCTATCCTACAATATTGGCACTGATTGGCTAAGCCAATCATTCTGACCCTCACTTGGTGCCTTTCAGCTCAGTGAGTGCTCAATATCTCCCATGGTCTGGGATAGGTTGTGCTGGTACCTTCTGTGCCATCAGGCTCTGCCTGCTCCTCTCGTTGTTTCTGCTTGAACTTCAGGTTCCCATAGGGCATGACAGCCCCCGTCAGCTTGTAGATGGCTGTTTTCTCATCAGCACTGAAGCCCAGGATGTCAATGGCACTCTGACAAAAGAGTTGTTAAGGTGAGTACCCCAGCTGTTAAAGGTCAGAGAAATGAAACTTCACATGAGAAAGCTTCTGCTACTACTCACGTCGGTGGCCATCAGCTCTTCCTGGTCGTTAATGCTGGGAACTGTGATCTCACCTTGACTCACATACAGGTAGTCATAGGGGTTGGTGGTGATCAGTAACATCTCTGAAAGAAGGACAAAACAGAGCCAGGTCAAATGCAATCTGCATGGAAAGGTATTCAATGTTGGTCCATGACTTTTGCATGGAGGACTTAGTGATCTTTCCTACCAATTAGCTCTGGCTTCCTGTTGGACATGATTTGATAAAAGATGTGGTAGCTCCTTTCCGCCTTGAGCTGGAAAGTGACTCTGGACTTCTCCAGCAGATCTGGCAAGGAGGGTAGGCACAGTCAAGCACAAGAAGTGGGGAAGGCAGGAGGGAAGAGGGATCAAGCAGAAGGGTGTCTTACATGTTTCAATGTCAGCAGAAGCCAATTTGCCTGTGGCACCAAAATGGATTCTGATGAATTTACCCTGAAAGCAGCAGGAAAGTCAGTTGAGACTTATTTTACCCATCTGCACAGCAAGAATATTCAAATTGGTGTTGACAGTCATGCCGATTAATAACTCACAAAGCGTGAGGAGTTGTCATTCCTCACGGTCTTGGCATTTCCAAAGGCCTCCAGCAGTGGGTTGGCACTGATGATTTGATCCTCAAGTGTCCCCTAGAACAGATGTCTTCTTGTCATGATGTAGTTCATCAAGAAATTGAGTTGTTGCAGGTTTCTAGCCCTGGCATCTCACCTGCATTTTGCCTGAGGTCTGCTCCTCTTTTTTCTTGTCTCCGCTGGCTGCAATTGTTGCAAAGTACTGGATGACACGCTTGGTGTTCACAGTCTTCCCGGCCCCGGATTCTCCGCTGCCAAAGGCAAGAGAGAAGCAGAGGGTGCGTGGTCAGGCAGGAGGTGCCCTGGCACCGGGCAGCCCCGCAGGGACCCGCGCAGGGGGTGTACGTACGTGATCAGGATGGACTGGTTCTCCCGATCTGTGAAGAGACAGAAACACAGTGCTTAAAGCTCAATGAACAACAGAGAAACAAACACGTAAGTTTAATGTTTTGCCTGACGTCAGCTTTACTTAAACAAGAAAACCTCCAAAGCACATCACTGAGTACAGAGATGCCTTTCAGTTAAAACAGCAGAAACAATGCTATGAAGATAGTAAACTCCAAGAGATGTGTGTGTCAGGTCCAAGAAAGCTTTGAAAAAGCTGACTTTCGGAGGTAAGGAGCTGCCTCCCCAAAGATGGCCATCTCAGCGTCCGTGGACATGGCTGCTGCTTACTAGAAGTAGTGCAGCAAGTGTCTGTGAGGATAGAGAATATATCAAAATAGTGTGTGATGGAACAAACACTCCTATAGCACATTTGATTGCTCTTCTTTAGGTATCAACTACATTGCCATATCTTTTTCTGCTAATTCAAATTTCTCTTCTACAATTTTTTTTCTATTACTATTATTTTTTTGTGTGGTCAGATTGTTATTCCTACTGGACAATTGCATTTATAGAAGAATGCTTTCTGTCTTTTTTTGTTTGGGGTCCCAGCAGAGGAAGGACACGGAGCAGCTGGACTGATTCCAGAGGAGGCCATGGAGATGCTCCAAGGGATAAAGCTCTTGTGCTCTGGAAATAGTCTGGCAGAGCTGGGGTAGTTCAGTCTGCCGAAGAGAAGACTCCAAGGAGAGCTTCCAGCAAACTTTCATTACCTAAAGGAGTTCCAAGAGACTTGAAGGGGAACTTTAGACAAGGACCTGAGCAACAGAACAAAGGGGAATGGCTCCCAACTGAAATAAGACAAATTTAGATTAGATATTAGGAAGAATAATCTTTACAACAACAACAACAACAAAAAATTCTTTGCTTCTTAGCAAAAGACAAACTTCACGACACAAATTGGTCTTATCAATTCAAGTGAATTGGTGCAATTTCCTGACTGGTTTTGTCTCTAACAACATGCTTTTCCACTTGATTAATATGTTATAACTCAAATGAGACCATTCCACAAAATAGTCACAGAAGGTTGAAAAATTGTGCCAGATTTTCACCAGCAAATTTAACACTGCTTATATTATCTCATGTTTTCTTACAAGATTCCTAACAGGAATAATAGTAACTATTCCTAGGAAGAATAAGTTTGCTATATTATATATCTTAGTATATACTATGTCCATATATATATTATGTTATTATATACTACAGAATATTAGTTTATATTTGTAAATTATACCTATATTGTAAATTGTGCTATTTTATAGACACTGGATGCTTTTCTCACAGTATATCCTTATTATACTATCAAAAACTATAATATATATTGTAGGTTAGTATACATTAATATATGTATGTAATGTGTCAGTAGATTGACTTTTAAAAATATTAAACTATTTTCTTTTGATAGTTTTGTTTGACATTTCCTGAAATTAATGCTATGCTAACCCTCTTTCACTGATTTAAAGCATGCTGGTTATATTCCTTACAGGATTGCTTGTTGACATTTTATAATTTTGAGGGATGTATTCTAGTGATAATATTTGACAAAATTAATATAACTTACTATAGAAAGTAAACACAAAAAGTTTCTTTTCCTTAGTATAAATATTTAAAACTTAATTTAGATGCAGTTCCATCTCTCTTTTTTCAGTTATCCAAGTAGGTATTATCCTTTGTTCAGTTCCTTATGATTACAAATATTTGCTTATATAATTTTGTCACAATTAGGCAATATTTTCAGAAGCAGAAACAAGCTATAAGGAAGCTCAGACTGAAGTGTATGCTTTTAGCACTTCAATGTTTTGATACACAAAATTCTAACCACATTCCTCAAGCTTCCATGTGAAAAAAGAACATATTAACATTATTTAAATATATATTTCTTTTTCTGTTGCTTCACAGTCGGTGCCAGTGACCCTTGATATTTGAGATAAATGCAAAAAACCCACCCCAAATAATTGGAAAGTACTTTTTGATGCATTTTTTGGGGTTTTTTCCCCCCCTCAGGACAGGTTCTCCAGGATCTGGTATCTACTGGAGATCCCTGGGGAGAGTGTAGGAAATGCTGCAGTGATCAGTACTTTAGAGATCACACTCTTGAAGAATCTTGTGACAAAAATAACATCAATCCAGCCCAATTCTCATACATATTTCTACAACGGATGCAAATATAATGACTACCAGGATTTCCAGCATACCTGCATAAAAGCCCTGCTTTACAGCAACTCTACCTGTCCCTAAAAAGTGAATAAATCAAGATCTTACCTTTTGTGAGACAAAGACTTGCAGATTAGAAGATGAACAGTATTAAGAAACAGAATTAGAAACTTTCTTCTTACTGCTGCACCCCAGACAATATTTATAGACTGAAAACAAATGGATGGTTGGAAAGCAGACTGAAAATCCCAGCTGACACTGGCAGACCCTCATTGAACGAATGTGAGCATCCATAGGAATGCACTGGAACTTGTGGAATGCAGAGCCAGTTTCCCTTCATTCCCAGCCTCCCTAGTCCCAAGCCCTGAAAGTCTTACCTTAGAAATTTCTGAGAAAGGACAAGACACACAGATCCCGGGGTACTTTTATAGGATCTGATCTGCATATGTAGCCACCACCTCCTCTTTCTTAGGTCAAAACATTTCTGGCAATCTTAACTCCTAACAGAATTGAGATTCATATTAGAAGTGAATGGATATAATTAGACATAACAGGTCTGTGAATCAATGTCCTATAAATAATTTGACAAGAAAGCATGAGAAGGGGGGGAAGTGGGAGGGTGTGCTAAAGGAGATGAAAGGGGCTTCATTGGTTCTGTAATCCATCAGATGCTGACTCGCACAGAAAAAGTGAAGTGTAAGAGCCAGTGCGTCTCATAGGAAACATGTAGGGATGGAGAGAAGTCACAAGCTCCTGTCTGCTGCAAGCACTCAGAGTCCTCAGTGTGGAAAAGCAGGAGGGGTCCTACTGAGAGGCAATGATACTGCTGGAAGAAGAAAATTCCAGTGCGGGAGGAAGCACCTGAAAAGGAACAGAAGTTGCAGAAGTGAGAATCAGGAGATCATAAGAATGGCCAAGGACTAGAATGGAGCAAAGCCAAAGCAAGTGAAGCAGGGGAAGAATAAGTCTAAATGTAGTAATAAGGAAGGATATGTGGATAGAGAAGAGGAAGTCCCTGGAGGTGTTTAAGAAAAGACTGGATGTGGCACTCAGTGCCATGGTTTAGTTGATAAGGTGGTGTTAGGTCAGGTTGGACTCGATGATCTCAAAGGTCTTTTCCAACCTAGTTGATTCTGTGATTCTGTGAAGTAAATAGAGATGTTATTCCAGTGGGCTAATCAAGTCACCATGGACAAAAGAAGCAATAAAAGAGCAGAACAAGTTTAGCCTAAAGATAAAAGCTTCAAAGCCTGAGGTCATCCTGAGTTAAGTCCCAGACTCTTCAAAGCCTGAGTTAAGTCCCAGACAAAAGGCACAGTAATAAAATTCTTGTTTTTGGATCTGAAGGTTTTTAAAGATCATATGAACACCACTATGGAAGTATTGTACTGAACTTGGGACATTTATACCATTGGAATCAGGAGAGATAGCTTCTGTCTCAACACAGGGTAGTCATTCAGCATTACTTTTACAAGATAAGTGTGCTAAGAAAGATTTAATAAATTTACATCCTCTAAACTAGAGTCACTCATACCCTATGCTGCTCTGGAAGATAGGAAACTATTCTTAGAGAGATCTGAACCTCGTGATAGTTTGTGTAAAAAGCCAAATTACTGTTCTCATCTCTGGGATTTTCCTTGCCCAGATTAAGGAGGGGAAATGCTCTATGTTCACAAGGACCAGAGAGGTGAAAAGAGCAGTAGAACCATTCACTTTACTGAGAAGCAATTTCCTCCCCATGCAACAGATCTGGATTTGTTCAGGGTTTGGTTTTGGGTTGTTTTGGTTTTTTTTTTCAGTGTGGTGGTTTTGGCTGGTTGGTTTGCTAGGATTTTTTGTTTGTGTTTTTGTTTCTTTCTTTTCATGTATTAGTCTTCACTTTCCAAACTACAGTTCCTACCAAAAACAAGGAAATCTGAAGTGAGTCACATCTCAGAAGCTTCACCTGTCCCACAGAATATTGCCTCCACAATTACTGTACCAGTTGTGCTCCTGTCTCTCTTAGCATCTCCTACTCAGAGGTCTGGATAAGAAAGTGAGGTAATTCCTTCCTCCTCTTCTCTCAGCTGTCTGCGTCTCTGTGATGGCACTGTAATCCTGGGTGTGGGAAGGAGATTGGCAGACATAAGTTTCATGTTTGGAGTAAATTGCTTGAATAGGCCTGGCTTTTGCAATAAACAGATTCCTTTTGCACCTGCCTGGACAGTCCATATTGCTCTGCATAGTTACAGCTCAAGGCCTTGATGGAGGCTTCCTATTTCTCTTGTTGTGCCCAACCATGTCTTGCTCCCACTATTCCCCTCCCTGCCTGCCACAGCTCCCTTCCCATGCCAAGAAAGTGAGGTAATTCCTTCCTCCTCTTCTCTCAGCTGTCTGCATCTCTGTGATGGCACTGTAATCCTGGGTGTGGGAAGGAGATTGGCAGACATAAGTTTCATGTTTGGAGTAAATTGCTTGAATAGGCCTGGCTTTTGCAATAAACAGATTCCTTTTGCACCTGCCTGGACAGTCCATATTGCTCTGCATAGTTGCAGCTCAAGGCCTTGGTGGAGGCTTCCTATTTCTCTTGTTGTGCCCAACCATGTCTTGCTCCCACTATTCCCCTCCCTGCCTCCCACAGCTCCCCTCCCATACCCTGCTTTTGCAGCAGAAGGAGCTGGATGTAGGTAAGCAGCCACATGGGGAAATACAAATGCATTAGCATTAGCAGAACAAAGTTCTCCCTCTTGTGCTTTGTTGGCAGAGGCCCCCTTTGGTTACTGCAGCTCCTGAAGCTGGCTCCAGGAGCATTTCCACCTGTATTGTGGCCTCGTGTTGTGGGGCCCCACCTCCAGCCAGGATCCGTCCACACAAGGGTTCTGACACAGCAAAAAAACCCATGGATGGAGGAGAAATGCAACGTGCTAGAAGAGCAGAAAAGAGCTTTTTGCTGCTCAGCTCAAGTGAAGTTCCCTGGTTCGCCCTGCCACCCTCTCTGAAATGCAGTGGGTACAAAAACAGAGATGTGTTAATGGAGGTCTCTGATGAGCCCTCAGAAGAGCAGGGCACCTAGAAGCACACTGACATGTCCTGTGATGGCCATGCAGCTGGGCTGTGTTTGACATCACCAGAGTCACAGGGAAGACAGGTCCTGCTCACACAGACTGTACAGCAAGGGCCCAAAGAGTTCAGGGGAGCACCAAAAATCCCACAGATGCTCAGCTGTGATGGATCCTATAATTTCTACAATGGATGGAGTAGTGTCCCTTCCCAGCTCCAGCTGTCATCTGCTGCTCAAATGTTATTTTCATATTTAATTAGGAATGTTTATAATATTAAAGCAGTGTTTTTACTGCACTTGTAGACTGGCTGAAGGATTGGAAAGGATATCCAAAAGGGACATATGAAGGTCAGCTCGGGACTGACAGTTCTGGTGGGATGCCCAAAGATGTTTAGGACTTGCTTTAAATAAACAGCAAGTTAGAGAGAGCTGCTAAAGCTTGACACAAAATACCAATCATGTCAGTATCCCACTCTGTGTCTGGCAAAAACAAGTTTATCAGCAGCAGGAGAACCTATCCACCTTTGCTTCTAATTTACCAGGCCCTTAGACACATTTAATGTGCTCCCAAACCATCTAATTTACTTACCCATCTGTAAAGTGTGATCAGTATTTAGATACATTTTCCAACCAAAGTGCTTTACCTGGTATTTCCAATCAACATATAAATGTTGACTGTCTAGTTCAGCTTAATGCAAAATACAATATTATGGGCGAATAATCAGTTCTTAGGAAAATGAGCAGTATGTTGAGAATGACAATAAACAGACAGAACAGTTAGGTTGTGGACAGACCAGAAGGGTTGAATCTAGAAAGGCAGTGGAAGGTTTCGCTGAAATTATGAATAGAGTCCTCAGTCTTAGCTATTCTTTCTTCCACAATCTTTTAAATGTGGGTTCTTCTCACTCATCCTACATGTGAATGTGTGGGGGGATAGAATATAAAAAAATAAAGATAATGCATAAAGTAATCTTACCCCTAAGGAGTTGCAACTGGACCAATTAACAAAGATTTGGAACAAGCCTGACTTTAACAGGCCAGAACTGTAACCAATAAGAAGAGTGCTATAAAAGAGTGGGTTGGCTGGTTGAGAAGGAACTGGACTTGGTTGGCTACTTGGTGAGGAACTGGAGCCAGTGCTTGGAGGAGCTGCCCATGAGAAAACACCGAGAAGGCATGAAACTTTTGTGATAAGGAGATAACAGTATGGAACTTCTGCGATGTTATGACAACATGAATGGGTATAATTGTGTGCTATACATGAAATAGAATTACTTCAGAGAAAGGGAGTGGGGTTATCTCTTGGTGCCAGTTCCTCACCATGTTGGTGTCTATGCTTGTCACAACTTGGAATGAAATTTGAGTTTCCTGTACTCTTAATCTTAACCAAAATTTGTCAATTAATAAAATATATATATATATCATTATATATACATGTGTGTGTGTGTGTGTGTGTATGCTAAATGCTTCAGGACCTTTTACTCCTATTATTTTCTTTTTCCTAAGAAGATGAAAATCACTTGGAAGAGTGTAACCCTAGTCCATCAAAGAAATGCATACTTATCATTCCAAGAGGAATAATAAATCCATATAATTATTACCATTCTTCATGCATTTTAAAAATGCAAATGTAAAAATGCTTTGCTGTTTGATATACTTTTAAACATGAAGATGAACTGTGTACATGTACTTCAAAAGTAATGAATACTAGAACAAATAAATAAAACATCATAGTCGCTGTTCATATGCAAGGGTCTCTACTGTCTTTATTACCTAGACATAAATGATAATTACTCAAGAAAGCAACACAGAGGTCTACATTTTATGCAGCCCTCAGGTCACTTTTTAGTCTTGGGAGCCTCATTCCTCTTCTTCTATCTTCTTATGAATCTCACGGCTCTTGGCTCGGAGCTTGTTGACCTGTGACTCTGCAATGTCAGCGCGCTCCTCAGCTTCCTCCAGCTCGTGCTGGATCTTGCGGAACTTGGAGAGGTTGACGTTGGACAGCTCCTCCTGTGAGAGCAGAGGGAGTTGGGAAAAAAACAGGCAGGGTGTGTTTATTACCAGAAAACTGGGCAAACAAAAATTCAAATGCCAGAGCTGGGCTAGCAGAGCAGATACAAAACCAAGATGAGAAGCTACTCAGGGTGTTGTGTGTGTCAGAAGAGAAAAGAATACTGGGATGTCAATAAGACATTATATACAGCATGGGCTAGGCAGAGTTCATGTCATAGTCCTGAATATACAGGCTGACAGCTCCTTCTGACTTCGAGGGCAAGGTATAAGCAAAGATATAGAGTGGGAAATGAGCAAAACACAGAGGGTTGGGAAGTATATTTCATCACAAACTAAGCAAGTCTTATTCTACATTCCCCATTGTATCAAAATATCATCATGTTGCACCGAAACAGACGAGGTTTCAAAAAGCTATACAGAGGAAAACATAAATGCAGAATTCCACCTCCACCAGAAGAAAGTCTGGTTTGGAGAAACTGGTACTTACAGCCTCCTCAGCTTGTCTCTTGTAGGATTTCACTTTCATTTGCAGCTTGTCCACCAGATCCTGCAGCCTGAGAATATTCTTCCTGTCCTCCTCAGACTAGAGGGTAGGCAAAATGGAAAGAGTGAATTATTGCTTTCTGCACACCACAATATAGCGTTTGTCCTTGGAGTCCATGAGAACGTCTTTTGTTTGATGGAATGAGGGTTCATCAGCCCAAGGGGAGCTCCTGCCTTACCTGGTAGGTGAGTTCCTTCACCCTGCGCTCGTACTTGCGCACGCCCTTCACGGCTTCAGCGCTGCGCTTCTGCTCAGCATCAACCTCCCCTTCCAGCTCCCGCACCTGCAAGGACAAGCCCATCCCTGCAGCTGCCCTGACAATGGCTCTCCAAGGAGAGACACGCTCACTCAGGCACAGCCCCAGCCCTACACACCCTGGCCTCCAGCTTCTGGATCTGCTTCTTGCCTCCCTTCAGTGCCAGCTGCTCAGCCTCTTCCAGACGGTGCTGCAGGTCCTTCACTGTCTGGTCCAGGTTCTTCTTCATCCTCTCCAGGTGGGCACTGGTGTCCTGCTCCTTCTTCAGCTCCTCTGCCATCATGGCCGCCTGATCAGAGCAAAAGGTCAAAGCCATTTTGGGACTGGAGATATTTTGGGGAGAGTGCATTCATCGTCAGCAATGCCAGGAGTGTCCAACTCACATCAGTGATGGCCTTCTTGGCCTTCTCCTCAGCATTGCGAGCTTCCTGGATGGTATCCTCCATTTCACCCTGGATTTGAGCAATGTCCGTCTCCAGCTTCTTCTTGGTGTTGATCAGGCTGGTGTTCTGTTGAAGAGCATGAACGTGATGGTTTTTTGGAAGGCTTACAGTGTGATATCAAGTACAGCATAAGTGTTTTTTAAATATAGATTGTGCCATCAGGTCACATTGGATTGTAAGAGAACTACTGTTGTAGCTATTAATTTCTCAGGTATGATGTGCTTTGGTATTTCATGAGCATCCTCTATGAAGTCTTTTCTCAAAGACAACAAAGAAGGAATCTATACTGAAAAATAAAAAAATGCTTTCCTTACCATTTTCACTCTACCAACCACAAAATTTTGAGATGGTTCTACAGAATACTTGTAGTGACATTGTTAAATTACATTAATGAAAGAGTTACTGCGGTCCTATTTTCTTCATGGTAAACCTACATTTACCTTTAAAGTCTCAAATGGAAATGTGAAGCTGTTGAACTCCAGTAAAAGAGTAAGAACCTCACGAATGTCTCTGCACTTGTTAAGGTATCTATACTGTAGTCTACTGGAATTCATACTCTATCTACATCTGAAACGGAAGTCTTAATATTATCTATCACCTATTACTTATTATTTACTGTGAAAGCCCCGGCATTTAACCAAACACTGATACAGCTCTGCCAGTCTTAAGTACATTTACACATATGGAACAATAGTATAAATCCTAACTATGTTTATTAACTGACCTGGCTATGGAGGAGCTGAACTCTCTCACTTGCATCCAGAAGCTCCTGCTCAGCCCCTTTCCTCGACCGCTCCGTCTGCTCCAGGGCTGCCCGGAGCTCCTCAACTTCAGCCTGCAGCAGGTTTGCTCTGCGCTCCACCATGGCCACCTGCTCCTTCAGGTCATCCTGTGCTCTGACAGCATCATCCAAGTGCAGCTGAGTGTCCTGGAAAGAGAGATGCGACAGATTGGGAGGTGTGTGTTTTCTGTTTTTGCATTTCCTATTTTCCCGTCAACTTAGAACTGAAAGAGTTGTGACAGAGGAAAAACATTTATCTGTGTTAAAAATCAGAGCATTGTGCCATACCTTGAGCACGGCCTGAGTGTTTCTCAGGTTCTTCTGTGCCTCTGCAGCCTGGCGGTTGGCATGGCTCAGCTGGATCTCCATTTCATTCAGGTCTCCCTCCATCTTCTTCTTCAGCCTCAGGGCTTCATTCCTGCTCCTGATCTCAGCATCCAGGGTGCTCTGCATGGAGTCCACAACTCGCAGGTGGTTTCTCTTCATCTGATCAATCTCCTCATCTTTCTCTGCTATCTTCCTGTCAATCTCAGACTTCACTTGATTGAGCTCAAGCTGCAGGCGCAGGATCTTTCCCTCCTCATGTTCCAGGGAGGCCTGCACAAGTGAACACAAACATTGACAACATCGATAAAAGTTCTTCTTATATTCTAGGGAATTGTAAAATATTTCATGAGATCTCAGCTGTCTGCACTCCCCAGCCAGAAGAGAGGACAACCAAGGCCTTTTCAGCCCTATTTTCGCATTTATTTACAGCAGACACCAGTGATTATGGTGATGTACCTCAGCTTCCTCCAGGGAGGCTTGCAGTTCAGATTTCTCCTGCTCAACCTGCTTCTTCACTTTCTCCAGCTCATGAATTGCCTTTCCTCCCTCTGCAATCTGCTCCGTGAGGTCAGAAATCTCCTCTGTGGAACAAAGATCAATGGCATGGTCAGGCAACGAGCAGAATGGGAAGGGCCCTGTCCCACCAAGGTGACAGGCATCTCTGCAGACCTGCAGGCACACACCCATGAACAATGGTGGCAAAGGCTGATAGTGAGTAAGGCCAGGGAGGAGCAGAGGCCCAGGGACTTACGCTGCAAGTTCTTGTTCTCCCGCTTCATTGTTTCCAGGTGGTCCAAGGACTCCTCATAGGCATTCTTCATCTTGAACAGCTCCGTGCTGAGAGAGCGCGACTCCTTCTGCGAGGCCTCCAGCTCAGCCTGCGTTTCCTCATACTTCTGCTTCCATTCTGCCAGGATCTGAAGAGAAACAGGGTGTGACTAGGGCTGTGGCCATCACGGAGCCATGCTCTGGCCAGGGGTGCTGGTGCTGGAGGCCAAAAGACCTTGTCAAAGTTCTTCTGCTTCTTATCCAGAGCAGCACAGGCAGCATTGGATCTCTCCACATCAATCATCAGGTCCTCCACTTCATTCTGCAGCCTCTGCTTTGTCTTTTCCAGGGAGGCACATTTGGCATTGACAGCCTCAACATGTTCCTCTGCATCCTGCAGACGCTGGGCCAGCTTCTTCCTGGAAAACAGTAATCATAAGTAAGACTGTGGCATGAAGCAGCATGTTTTTCACAGGAGTAAATTTAGCCTCTTTGTACTGTATGATCCACATTCACAGAGAGGTGTAAGACTTCTCCCAGACAGCCACTCTATTTCCATGTCTGAATTCTGGAGCAATCCTGCAGCAGGTCCCTTTCTGCTGGCCTCTCTCTGCTACTCTGGACCTTTCGGCTTTTCCCCAGTGCGTCCCTGCTTTCTGTCATACTTTGTCTCTTTGTAACCCCACCCAAAGGAGAACACTGACTTTTTCTTGACAATGTCACAGTGGGCTCCTCAAATTTCCATACTTAATCTGCCAGCGTTCTCCACATTTTCCACATACTTGGCCTCCTCGAGCTCCTCTGTGCGCTGAATCGCGTCCGTCTCGTATTTGGTTCTCCACTGAGCCACTTCACCATTGGCCTTGGACAGGGCTCGCTGCAGCTCCCCCTTGGCCTCCTGCTCCTCCTCATATTGTTCCCGGAGCAAGTCACAGTCGTGGCGAGCAGACTGCAGGGCGTGGGCCAGGGCGTTCTTGGCCTTGGTAGAAAAATAAAAAACAGTGGGAAAATGAAGGGAAATATCCTGGCAAATCTCCTCAATGAGAAGATCTTAGAAAGACCTCTGATGGGAAGGATGTGTAAATTTGCAAGGAATTAATGAATGGACTGCAGGGAAAGAGAAGCAGTGCCCTTATGGGAAAACTTGTACTCCAATATCTAAGGGGTTATTTTTGTCCCTTTCATCTTGTTGATTTAATACATTTAGGAAAATGTGTTTTCACCTTTATCTCTTCCTCTAAATGCCTCTTGAGTTCCTCAATCTGTTGGGTGAAAGCCTGTTTGCCTCTTGACAGCTGAGAAACCAAAGCATCCTTCTCTTCCACCTGACGTGAATATTCACCTGAGAAAATGTGCAGATACGCAACATTTTTAATGCCATTCATGGTGACACTGCAAACATTTGGAGATATAAAACCAGCTAGTTTTCAGTTGCTGCCGACACTTATGATCCCATTTCAAGCATTTCATAATAGATGTGACACAAAGTGTGTTGAAAAGACCACATGCCCTGAAATGTAATTTCTGCAATAACTCTGAGACATTATTGATCTGCACATGTAGATGTGGAGGTCTCACCTGACTCTGTCTGCAGACGAGCTCTTTGAGCAGTGAGGTCATTGATCATGCGCTGATGCTCTTCTTCCTTGCTCTTAATCTCACTCAGCTGATCTTCCAGAGTGCGGCACATCTTCTCCAGGTTGGTCTGTTTCAGCATATAGACAGGGATGAGTTAATCATCCACACTCTAAAGAAGCCTGGGAGCAAGGATTGTGTTGCATTCCACTGGGTCAATGAACCAATAAAATAATTGTGTACCTTGGCTTTAGAGACTGACTCCATGTTGCTGGCCAAGTCATCAATCTCCATCTTCAGCTCACTCTTCTCCTTCTCCAGCTTCTGCTTCACGCGTTGCAGGTTGTCGATCTGCTCGCCCAGCTCAGCTGTGCTGTCCGCGTGCTTCTTGCGCAGGGCGGCAGCCGTGGCTTCATGCTGCAGCGTGGCCTCTTCCAGGTCACGGCGCATCTTCTGGAACTCTGCCTCACGCTTCTTGTTCATATCAATCTGAGCTGCTGTGGCCCCTCCTGCTTCCTCCAGGCGCTCGCTGATCTCCTCCAGCTCCCTGGACAGGTCAGCGCGATGCTTCTCTGCTTTAGCGCGAGAGGTTCGCTCTGCCTCAATTTCCTCCTCCAGCTCCTCAATGCGGGCCTGCAGAACAGCAGGGACCCTTGACAGCCGTGCCCTCCTCCTGCCTGAGCTGAGCCTGAGCAAGGCAGGGTGAGGAACAGACACTTGCCTGCAGCTCCTTGATCTTCTTCTGAAGTTGCACACCCAGGGCCTGTTCATCCTCAATGTTGCTCTGGATCTGGCTGATTTCAAAGTCTTTCCTTTGGACCAAGTGAAACATGGTAGAGCTCAAAGAAACAAGTGCTGCAGCCCAGCACTCAGGTGCCCCAGAGTCACACTTACTTTTTCAGTTTCTCATCCAGCTGCTGCTTATCATTCTCCAAATCCATGATGCTGTCCTGGGCCAGCTTCAGGTCTCCTTCCAGTTTCCTCTTGGCTCTCTCCAGGTCCATGCGCAGTTTCTTCTCTTGCTCCAGGGACCCTTCCAGCTGAACACAACAAGACCATCAGGCCTCTGCCAGCCAGGTCAGGCTCCATACCTGTCCTGTTCCTGCTCTATGTCTGTGTGCTTACATCATCCACTTGCTGTTCCAGCTTGGTCTTGGCTTTGGTCAGAGTATTGACTTTGTCTTCCTCTGCCTGCAGGTCATCCAGTGTCTGCTGATGTGCCTCTTGGAGGGCTTTCTTCTCTTTTGTCAGCTTGGCAATGGTCTCATCCAGGGCTGCCATCTCCTCAGTCAGGTTTTTCACCTTTGAGAAGAAGGGAGCAAATATAAATAAAGGAAGCAGATATAGAGGTCCTGTAATAGCGCACAGCCCATTTTCAGGAGTGCGAGTGGCAGGTTCTACCTCATACCTTGTTTTCAGTGGCATGTTTTTCCTTCTCCCCCTTGGCCAGTGTTAGCTCAAGGTCATCAATATCTTTCTTCAGCTCTGAACATTCATCCTCCAATTTCCTCTTCTTGGCTGTCAGTTCAGCATTAATTTCTTCTTCATCCTCAGCCCTTTCAGTCACCTCTTTAATTTTGGCTTCCAGTTGTATTTTGGTTTTGATGAGCTGGTCACACCTTTCCTCAGCATCAGCCAAAGCATCTGCTTCCTATTAGAGAAACAGATTTGTTTGCTAATCACAACTGTTTGCAATGATTCTGAATAGAGAAATTTACTTTCTCTGAAAATTAAGTACTGTTTATAAATGGGTAGAGATTTTTTTCTTTATATTTTTATAAGCTTTTCTTGGCAAGACTGACTTTGAATAAAATTTTTTTTGAGTGAGATAAGTTGATATATAGATTAGGTGTAATCAGAGGTTTTAATTTGAACCTGGCTTCATTTTGAATCTGTGTGGCAAACATCTAAAGACACAAGGTAATGTTTAAATATTGACCAATCCCATGATCTCCCAATGGCCTTAGGCGGTACATATAGTTGATCATGCGCTGATGTTCTTCTTCCTTGCTCTTAATCTCACTCAGCTGATCTTCCAGAGTGCGGCACATCTTCTCCAGGTTGGCCTGTGTTACAGCATATGCAATATGTCCTCCTGGAAAAGTGGTTTTAGAAAGACAGGTGACATAACACGTATCATATAGAATGGCATAGAGGTCTTTGGGCAACTGACTGATATCAGAGTAATTTGTTGGATGAATTGCTCCACAGACTCTTTTTACTGTAAATTCTAAATCTCCAGTGACTCCATTGGGTGTTATAGTGTGAGCCTGGTGAAACAGACCTATGGGCATACATGGTTCAAAAGTCATTCCCAAGCTAGAACCTCCTATTATAATGGTGACACTGAGTGTTCTGAATTCTACCTTCCATTATAGATATTAAAATATTTTCTCAGATAATTTATTGTCTGTTATGTGAGTTATGAGAGATATGTGCCATAGGGGTACCTGGAAGAAATATACAAATTATACTTACAGATTGCACTTGGAGCTGCAGGTCATTTTTCTCCTGCATTAGAGAGGCCATTTTCTCCTCCAGCTCCTTCCGCTTTGCCTCAGACTTTGCAAGCTCTTCCTTGGTTTTCTCAAACTCTCCCTTCATGTTGGCCATCTCCTTCTCAGACTCTGCACTCTTCAGCAAGGGCTTGATCTTGAAGAACAGCTTCATCCATGGCCAGTGCTTGACATTCATGAATGAACGAACGTTGTACTGGATGCAGAAGATGGACTCCCTGAGACATAATTAAAAAGTGCAATGAATATTCTCCGTGTCAATGAGAATGAATAGCAATGAATAGTCTGATGAGTGTCAACACTTTCCCCCA